GACAACCTGAGTTTTCGTAAGCACTACGAAATTGTGTAAATTCAGTCCTATTAGCCAGGACTCTGGTAGCCAGTGGCAGAAAACAAATTCCAGAACCTTAAATTTCAAAGGAATTCATTGACATCCTACCATTTAATTAAAAGCTTCACCAATAGCTTGTTACCAGCTCCAGGGAACAGAATGCCAGGTTAACTGTCTGATGAAGGATGTTTTCTCAGCTGACAGTTCCAGGAGGGACTCTAACTCTATTGGTTCAGGGCCTCTCACTCCCTGTATTCAGAGGGAAGTGGTACTTTGAAGATCCAGGGTCACTCACGTGTCCTACCAGGGCGGTAGCAAAAACATTTGTGTTCAACTTCACCATGGCCATGTGGAATCAGGGATGTCATGGTTTGACTCTGCAGGGTCTCAGACAGGCTCATGTTTTGAATGCTTGGTGGTGGTGGCAGGGTGTGTGTATGTGTGAAACTTTAGGAGACTGGGTCTAGTTGGCACAACTAAGTCACTAGGATGGGTCTTTGAAAGTTATACCCAATCCTTGCCCTCTGCTTCCCTGGGCAAGAGTGACAAGAACAGTCTCCGACACACATTTCTAATATGAAGGCTTTGTCACAACCTTCCCTCTCACAAAGACTGAAAACCTCTGAAACTGGGAGAGCCAAAATAAACTTTTCCTCAAGTTGCTCCAGGCAGGTATTGTGGTTGTAGGCTTTCTAACAAAGAGCAGAGCCATCATGACAAGAGGGAGAAGGGAGTGGCCCTGTACAGAAATACGGTCACCCACTACCAACAGGATGCTTTGCTGCTCCTGTGGTTCTGTTTTGAAAGAGCATGGTTGCCTTCTGTGAATGACTCCCCTTGAAGAATACAGTCGCTCCATAGAGGCATGGCGTTTGACCAGTGTTGGGTCACTTGTAAACCCACATCCATACCAAAAAATTGCTCTTACTTTTAGCTTGCACCACCCTTTTCCTTTTAAAAAATATTTATTTTATTTTACACGAATGAGTGTTTTGCCTGCACGGATATACACACACTGTGTGTGCAGGAGCCCTTGGAGGTCAGAAGAGGTATGGGAGTCCCAGGAACTGGAGTTAATGACTGCTGTGGGCTACCCTGTAGGTCCTGGGAATTGAACCTGTGTCCTCTCCAAAAGCAACAAGTGTTCTTAATGGCTGAGCCATTTCTCTACCCTCATCCTTTTCTTTTTCTTAAATAATTATTTATTTTTATTACGTATACGAGTGTTTTTCTGTGTATATGTATTTGTATCACATGTGTGCAGTGCCGGAGGAAGCTAGACAAGGGGGTTGTATATACTGGAACTGAAGTTACAGGCAGTTGTAAA